ACTCTAGCTTGGCCTAAAAACTTCTGCTCTGAAGACACAATTCAACTTCTAATAAAAGTTTAATCACTAGTAACTGAAAAGGAGTAAGGGTTAAGATTTTAGCTTGTGAGGAATTGTTTGTCAAAACATGTTTGCCGAGAATGTTTGCACTGCTTCATGCAAGAAGAATGCCTTAATCAGCATGTTCCAGGAGGTTAGGAACTAGAAATGATAGTGTTAAGAAGGATTGTAGTTTAACAACCCCTCGTGACTTTTCGTCATGTACCCCTCACACCTGTGAGCCCATAGCCGTTTGTTTACTCCACCTGATAAAAACCTCACTCTCTTCTTGCAATTTATAGCCCTAGAGCTCTTGTGGGTAGTGCCTAAGGCATTTGACTGCTGACCAGAAGGATGGTGGTTCAAAACTCCCAGCCACTCCTTGGAAGGAAGACTGGGCAATCTACTTCTGTAGAGACATCACCTCGGAAACCCAAGGAGGGGTCTCTGTGGTTAGTATCCTGCCTGGGTACTAGTGTCTCCTCTGATTTGCAAATCTCTCTACCTTTCCATAAAACTGTGCTTTCACTTCTAACAGACTGTAAGGCTGGTGCTTTGGTCTGCCAATTCTCATGGTTCCATGAGCTCATTTAACAGGACAGAGGGAAGTTTGAGGATACGTATCATTATTATTTTCTACCCCTATGCAGAACTAAATGGAAGTCTTATTTTACAATGTGTTTACTCAAAGCAGGATATCTTAAGTCTACCATTTTAACTACTGTTGAAACAGTAAAGTAAAAACTATTTCTCCCACCCTATAAGTAAACTAAATTACCCCCAGCTATTCTCCCACCCCAGGCAGATGAATATTCAGTTCCTTAAAGAACTGAATGGAAAATATTCCTTCCTGTAAAGCATTTTAGAAACAACTTGTAAATTAACTCTAGGACATATGCAATAGGACTAGAGGAACAAAAGTTAATTGCAGGACCCTCTTCCCTCTGTCCAAGCCCCCATCATCTGATAACAGGAAACTAGTGTGACTCATCCTTCACCCATTTCACATTCACGCTGCAAATTCCTCAACCTTTTGTGAATATGCACAACCCCCTCTCCTGAAACCTACAAAAACTGTGTTCCTTGGCATCTTGGGGAGTTTAGATCTGGGTACTAAATTACCCCTAACTCCTTGCACTGCTGCTTTGCAATAAGTAATTTTCTCTTCTCTCAATCTCGGTGTGTAAACTATTTTGGCCTGACTGCATACTAGGCAGAGAGCCACGTTTGGTCCGATAACACTGTGATTTTTATTTTATTTTATTTTTATTTATTGTGATTTGGATGAAAGTTTACAGAGAAAATTCACTTAACCATACCCAGTTCACATACACTTTGTCTCATGACATTGACTACAATTTACCACAATGCGACAACTCCCCTCCCATTTCCTGCCCATAGTTACCTCTTCCCTATGTCCATCCCTCCATGCACTCCTGCCCCCCTAGCTTTCTCCCTGTGCATCCACAGCCCTTCTATTCTCCCATGATTGTTCTCTCCAAGGAGTGTATCTACCTAGTGTAAATGTTCACCTCTTATGCCTATCTTTTGTTTGGCTGGAAGCCATGGAGTGGGTTCAATTCCAGACCTGAAGGGCAGCTCTGGGCCATAGTCTCAGGGGTTCTATCACGCTTTATCAGACCAGTAAACCTGGTCCCCCCCTTTTTTTTTCCAAATGATTTTGAGTTTTGTTCCACACTGTTCTCCCACTCTATGCAGGATCTCGTACATAGAGAGGATACGTATTTTTACAAAACTTCTGCCCTAGGCAAGTCTGATGTACAATCAGGCTTAGAAACCCCTGGACCAGATGATCTTTTGGGGTTTGTCCTGGTTATAAAATACCACACCCTGTGAAGAATAAGACTCATATCATATCCAAGTAGTCACTGTACCCCATCTCCCACTCCCACTTCTAAGACCTTCTTAGAAGTTTCCTTACTTTCAGGCCCATTAAAGAGAGAGAGAAAGATACACACACAAAGGAATATTGTACAACACTAAGGAATAATGTAGAATCCAAGAAACACCTCATAAGGTGGATGAACATTATGCTGAGTGAAATAAGTCAATCATGTTGTTGTTGTTATGTGCCATCAAGTCGGATCCGACTCATAGTGACCCCTCCTTGGGTTTCCGAGGCAGTATCACTACGGAAGTAGATTGCCCCATCTTTCTTCTGAGGAGTGGCTGGTTGGTTTGAACCGCCAGTCTTCTGGTTAGCAGTCAAGTGCCTTAGCCACTATGCTACCAGAGCTCCCAAGTCATAGAAGGACAAATATTGTATTAGTCCACTATTGTAAAAAGTCAAGGAAAGGTTTATATATGGAAGAAAACTTTCTATGTTGGTTACCAAGGATGGGAGGGGTGGGGAGGGAAAACTTCTAGATAAGTAAGAGACACATGTTGATGTGGGTTAAGGGAAACCCACCAGCCACTCCTTGGAAGGAAGGTTGGACAATCTACTTTCGTAGTGATATTCCTCAGAAACTCAAGGAAGGGTCGCTATGAGTCAGGTCTGACTCGACGGCACATAACAACAATAACAAGGGAAAGGCAATATATACCAAAAGTAACTGACCAACACAATAACCTTAAGGAAAAGGAAGACACAGAGAGGTGCACAAGAGGAACAGACAACAAAGATAAACACTTTTACATACACAATACTGCACTGTCAATAATAACAAACATTAATCTATGGGTAGATAAGAAGGTAGATGGGTTGAACAATCAGGTATGTCTAGGCAAAAGGGAATACACCCATGACCATATATAAGTTTGGGAGATGCTATTTCTACATATGGATTTGTATGTGCTATAAGAATGTCCACATAGATAAAACTAACTGGTGGCAAAGTTATGATAACTTCTTAGCTACAGCCAACCACCCTGACGGAGCAAGTTGTTAGACCTGTGGGCTTGGGACCATGGTCATGGGGGACATTAAGCTCAACTGGCATAACATACTACACAAAAACATTGTACTACATCCTACTTTGGTGAGTAGCAACTAGGGTCTTAAAAGCTGGTAAGCATCCATCTAAGATGCAACAATGGGTCTCTCCTTGTCTGGAGCAAAGAAGAATGAAGAAAACCAAAGATACATGGCAGCTATTAGTCCAAGGGACTTGTGGACCATGCAAAACTCAGCCCGAATAACCATGGGACCAAAAGAACGAGACAGTGCCCGCTATCACTGTCAACCACTCAGACAGGGATCAAAATTAGAGACCCTGGATAAAGTGGGAGAAAAATGTGGAACAAAACTCAAAATCATTAAAAGACCAGCCTTACTAGTTTGATAGAGACTGGTGAAACCCCTGAGACTATGGCCATCAGCCACCCTTCAGGCCTGGAAATGAACTCACTCACAGCCAAACATTATGCAGGCATATAAAGTGAACATTTACACCAGGTAGATACACTCCTTAGAACAATCAATCATGGGAGATCAGAAGGGCGGTATTTGCACAGGGAGATAGTTTAGCAGGAATGCATAGGAAAGAAGGACACAGGGAAAAGGTAACCACAGGGAGGAAGTGAGAAGAGAGATGCTACATTATAGTGATTGCAATCAATATGATGAAACAAAATGTGTATGAACTGCTGTATGAATTTGCTCTGTAAACTTTCACGCAAATCGTAATAAAATAAAAAGGAAAGAGAAACTGAAGTAGAGGCGCTGCCTCATGATCCAGATGCCCAGGCCTCTCTGGGTGCTGCATTCCTGAGGGCCAAGCCTGGAGGTTCCAAGGCTTCTATTATCATTCCAAGAGGATGACAAGGTACAAAAGCCCAAGACAAGGACAGGAGTTGTGAACCTTCTAGGAATTTACATGTGGACCTGAATCCTCTGTGGAGTCTAGTATCTTTCCAAAGGCTTTTTATTCCCTGGGATGGCATGCAGGGTATTTTGTATTCCTTATTCTGTTAGATAGTCTGTAAAGGTTGGATATCTTTTTAAAAGGTGCACAACATTCTAATAATGCAGTGTTTTGGGTAGTCAATGATCTTCCTTCCTTTCTTCCTTCCTTCCTTCTTCCCTCCCTTCCTCCTTCCCTCTCTTTCCTACTTTCCTCCCTCTCACCCCACTTCCCTTCCTTTTTTCCTTCCTCTGTCCTTCTCTCTTCCTCCTTTTTCATCTCTTCCTACTCCTTCTACCAAGGAGAGGTCTGGGGTTGGGTATCATAGGTGCTGAACACTGCTCTTTAGCCCATTTCGAGAGAAGCATCAGAGTTCGGTTCACCATGCAGCCATAGGAACGTGACTTCCTGGCCCCCTGCAGTTTTATGACGAGTCTCTCCATTTTGCAGGGCAGTCATTACCCATAATTGATGCTCACTGACCTAGTCCAAACAAACGTGTGGCACACTCCACATATCACATACCACACACAAGCACAAATATTTGCATTGCTCTTGTGGGCTGGAATGGGGATGCCATTTCTATGACCAGACCATTTTCAGCAGCCTCTGCTTGGAGCAGAAGGACAGGGCATCCACTTAACCATTCTGGTTTTCTAGGACCAGCATCCATGACAAAAATGCTCAGCTGCCAACCTGCTGCCAGAGAAACTGGGCGAGGAGCCCACCATTCCAAAACCAGAGTTTGTTGGTGGCCAGCTTCCCCTTCCTCTACGCAACCTGTGCTAATGACGGCTGGTGATGTTTAGCCGTGATGACAGGTCTTTGTGAAGAGGTATTTTTACCCTCTGGACAAATAGCAGTTGGGACGAGTGGGGCTTTTTTATGAGTTGAGGTACTCAGGACTGGAAAAGAAACAGCCAGCTAATAAGCCGTTCTTATGGAAACTAGTGTAAATAATAACAAAGAAAACATCCTGTCCTTTGTGCCTACACCCTCAGGTGAGGGGGTATAAAAGCTGCTGGCCAGCTGGCCACCGTCAGACTTGGGGAACTCTGGCCGTGCTGCTGACCTGCGACCTGCCCGTCCGGGAGCATGGGGTGCTGCCAAGGGGACTGCTTCACCTGCTGCGGCCAAGAGCAAGAGTGCTGTGAAACGTGCTGCTGCCAGCCCTCCTGCTGCGGCTGCTGTGGTTGCTGCTGCGGCTCTGGCTGCGGAGGCTCTGGCTGCGGAGGCTCTGGCTGCGGAGGAGGCTGCTGTGGATCTTCTTGCTGTGGGGGAGGCTGTGGCGGCTGTGGAGACTGCGGCGGCTGTGGCGGCTGTGGCGGCTGTGGCGGCTGTGGCGGTGGCTGCTGTGGGAGCTGCTGTGGCTCCGGCTGCTGTGGCTCCACGGGGTGCTGCGGCCCTGTTTGCTGCCAGCCCACACCTGTCTGTGACACGAAATGAAGACCTTAGTCATTACCACTGAGGCAGGTCCAGTGAAAGACTCCATCTGCTCCAGATGGAGACCCCCTTGTCTCCAGGACCTTTCATGCCCCCCAGCCAGTGTCCTGCCTCCTGGGCTATCTGTAGAGAACTTGCTCTCTAACCCTGGCCTGGGTGTTTCAAGGCATTGAGAACAAGAGCCATGCTGGTGAGAGACTGAAACCAGTTCCCACCCCAGGTGATCCCCCACAGCCTAAAGGGTGAACCCTCACCCTTTCTGTTCATGAAGTGAAAAAGCATCCTTTTACTCAAGGTGTCTTTGGGACCAACCTTCCCCTGCTCTCCCTGCTTTCTGCTGCTCTTGAGACACAAAAGTTTTGTTAACCTCTGAATAAATTGGAGCATGCTGGCATAACCTAATCAGTCCTCCTGCCTCTTATTTCACCTCCTCAAAAGTGAGGGCTTCTGAAATGTGCTTTGTGGATCACCTGCATCAGGACGACTTTGGGGCCAGTTTGAGGACTCTTCCTGGGACAGGCAGGATCAGAATCTACAGGACCGTGGCCTGGGAATCTTGTTTTGACACTAACCCTCAGGTCATTCTTATGCACTGAAGGCTGGGAACCAGAGATGTAGGCTAAACTCCCATATACTGCATGGGATTCACTTGGGGAGGTTTTTTTTTTACCAGCACAGATTCTTGGGCTTCACCAAGGGAGATTATATCCATTAGCTCTAGAGTGGGGCCCTGGTACCTGCATTTTTAAAAGCTCTTGGGTCAAGGTTGATGCTGGCTATGTTTAATCTTGAGGAAGGGCATGGCTTCTTCCTTCTGCATTGTAGTCCCTCTGAAGTGGTTCTCTAGGAGGGTTTCAGACTTGGTCAGAACTCTCTGGCAAGGTCGGAGTAGGAGGCTTTGGTAAAACAAGGTTGGTTCTGACTGGAAGGGATTCCTGGGGCAAAGCCTTGTGAACTGCAGCTTCTGAAGATGTTCTGAGCAGTCCAGTTCCTCCTCTAGCCATATGCTTTGGGCCAATCTCACATTTTTTTTTTTTTTTTAGTTAGGCTTATTTTAGTTCTGGAACCAGCTGCATTCCTTTTGCTTGAGTCTCAGAGATGAGAGGGGTGAGTGTCCATCTGCTAGACAATTCAACACCCTGGTGAACATGATCTTAAGCTACATGTGGTATAAAACAAATTCTGCTTTTTACCCGAGAGAATAGTATTTATTTTTATTTCTCCAAAGCAATTTTTTATTAAACAAACAACTAAAAAAAAAACAATTTTTTTCTGGTTATATGCATAACATTGTTCCCTAAAATATGAAAAAAAATCCAAAATAAGTAAAGTAATAATAATGACTGAATTCTTGCCACTCACACTTTATTACTGATGTGTGTCTTTCTAGATTCCTTTCAAAGTATATTTATAAATAAAATTTGAATTATGCTGTTTTTATTTTTTAGCTTAAAAAATTTTCTGGCTCATTTTTTATAAGCCAACTTTATCGAGATAGAATTTTTATATACAAAAATGCTCCCAATTTTAGTGTACATTTTGATGAGATTTGATGATTGTAATGTACTCATGTAACCAACATGGCAATTAAAATATAGACGACTTCTATCATCTCAAAATTCCCCAATCATACTCTCTACTCAAGACCCAGGCAACTATCAATCTGCTTTAATTCAGTCTACATTTTGCCATTTCTAGAATTTCATATATACAAAATCATATAATGTGCACTCTTTTTTACTTAGGATAATGCTTGTGATATTTAGCTATGCTGTTGCAGGTATCTGAAGTAGTTTGTCCCTTTTTATTGAATAATATTCCACTGTATGGAGAAACTACCTTTAAAAAATACGTTCAGTTACGAATGGGCACTTAGGTTGTTCCCAGTTTTGGCCTATTATGAATAAAGTTGCTATGAACATTCATGTACAAATCTTTGTGTGGACATACAGATGAATGGCAAGTGTCAGTTTATGAGAAACTTTAAGATTGTTTTGCAAAGCTGCACCATTTTGTATTTCCACCAGCAATGTCTGAGAGTTCCAGTTTCTCCATGTCCTTTCTAACACTTGATTCTGCCTCTTTAAGATCCCCTCACTTGGTCCAACCCCAAGGCATTGCTCAGTTCAAGTCTTTTTTATTTTTGGCTATTAGAGCAAGTGCATAAGGACCCCTGGTGGTGCCATGGTTAAAACGCTTGGCTGCTAACCAAAACCCAGCAGTTTAAACCCACCAGCCACTCTGTGGGATCAATGTGTGACAGTCTGCTTCCATAAAGATTTATAGCCCTGAAAACACTATTGGGTAGTTCTACTCCATCCTCTAAGGTCACTGGGACTCAGAAATGACTCAACAGCAGGGGGTTTGGTGTTTGGTTTTAGCACGTGTGTAGTGGTAGCTCAGGTAGTATAGTGGCTAAGACACTTGCCTGCTAACCAGATGGCTGGCGGTTCAAACCCACCAGCTACTCCTCGGAAGGAAGGTTGGGCAATCCTACTTCCGTAGTGATACTGCCTCGGAAACCCAAGGAGGAGTCGCTATGAGTCGGGTTTGACTCGACGGCACATAACAACAACAACAACAACAACAAGTGGTAGCTCAATATATTTTCCATTTTCTGTCTCAATTTTAAAGCCTAGTGGTATTAGTCGGAGCTCTGGTAGCACAGTGCCTAAGGCACTTGACTGCTAACCAAAAGGCTGGCAGTTCAAACCCACTAGCCACTCCTCGGAAGGAAGGTTGGCCAATCTACTTCCATAGTGATACTGCCTTGGAAACCCAAGGAGGGGTCACTATGTATCGGGCCTGACTCGATGGCACATAACAACTACAACAATAAATGGTATTAGTGGTATCTTGTTTTTGGAGAGAATCTGAGGTTTTACTCTGTCATGGAACAGCCTCAGACCCTACCTCAGAGATGTAATCTCAGCCTTACCCTTGTACAGAGCTATCCAAAAGTTCTCATTCCCCACTGCCAGCTCTGTTACCATATTTCAGAGAATGGCACTCCCTGTTCCCAATCTTCCATTTTTAACTATTGAAACTATTGAGTCCTGTAGATTCTGCCTCTTTAAGATCCCCTCACATTGCTCCAACCCCAAGGCATTGCTCAGTTCAAGTTGTCACCATGAAGCTTCCCCCCTCCAGACTTGTCTTCCTCCTCCAATCCCTTCTCCACAGGATAGCCAGAGAGAACTTTCCAAAGTGCAAACCTGGTTAAGTTACTTCCTTGCTTAAAAGTCACACCCTTCAGTATAAATCCAAATTTCTATTATGATCCTGCAAAGCCTTTCATGATTGGGTGCCCAGTAACCCGTCTGGTCCCATCACTACCTTCTTGAACTTCATCCTGGCTACATTAGACTATTTGCTGCCTCCCAAATGTGTCACACTCTTATGTCTATGGTTTTCACAGTTGATCCTTTTCTGCTCTTCCACCATGTTCCTTAAGGATGAAAACTTGCCTTTGTACACTTGAGAAGCATTTTCCAACTTTCCAAGTCAGTGGTTCTCCTCGGTGTCTCCCAGGACCCCATGTGTCCCTCTATCATAGCTCTATTGTGACTGCTATTGATATATCTACCTGTCTTCTAAACTGTGGGCTCCTTGCAACAGGAATTTCAACTAATGTTTTTTGTATCCCTTACACATAACCCAGTGTTGGGTGAGTTGTACAGATAAGTCAAAGGGAAATTGAGTGAATGGTTCCATACATTAATAAATGAAGGATGGATGAATGGCACCATAGCTTAGCTTGTCCAAGGGAGAGTCTGACTTTTGCACTGATGCTGAAAGTCCATGGTAAAGGCAAGGTAGGCCCTTCACTGAACAAGAATGTCTGGACTTGGGGTCTACAAACAAAGCCTAAAGTTTGTTTCTCACCTCATCTCTGCTTCAAGTAGCAGCAAGGATGAGTCTCTTGTTCACAAGGTCCTTAACAGATAAAGTTGGGAAGCTGCTGTATAACTTCTTGTCTTTCTTCTTCACACCTTGGGTCTTGGAGACATCTTTCTTTTAATCCAAATAAAACCAAAATTCACTGGCGTTGAGTCAAATCCAACTCATTGTAACCCCTCCTTGGGTTTCTGAGGCGGTATCTCTATGGAAGTAGATTGCCCAATCTTCCTTCCGAGGAGTGGCTGGTGGGTTTGAACCACCAGCCTTCTGGTTAGTGTTAGTGTCAAATGCCTTAGGCACTATGCCACTAAAATCACCAAAGGTAAGAAAGGCTCTGGACGGTTACTGAATGTTTGGGGTGGGGTGGAATGGGGGAAAGTAAGGAGGTGAAGCAGAGAGCTGGGTTAAAGTGCTTCTCAGGGACAAGTAGAGCCAATGCTCTAGGGTAGGGCTGCTTACAGAATGGAATGGAGGATAGCATGGTGGGCTGAGCCTGTGACAAGGCTCCTGAGAGGGGTTGGCCCAGACAGGTTGGTGAGGAGGAGAAGACCAGCCCTAGATCAGAGGGCAGGCTGTGTGTGATATTCAGTGAATGAATGACTCAAACACTCTGACCTACTCAACACTCCCCAGCTGTCTCTTCATCTAAAGCTAGAGGGGAAGACTCTCTACCCCATGGATTGCTGTTGGTTTTAAATAAGATCAATGTTGTAAATCAGTCATTCAAAATCCATACCACCTCCCCGACAGAGCACCTCACCACATTCCTCTACCATTTCCTGATGTCTATTGTTCACCTTATCATTGTATTGCAATGAATTCACCTGTGTTTATACCTACTAGATAGTGAGATCCATGAGAATGGGTGAGTAGATTTCTTTCATGTGGACATCCTCTGTGCCCAGCTCAGGGATTGGTACAGAGGGCTAGAAGATGGATAAATTATAAGTTTCTTTCTTCTTTCTCCATCCATCATGCTCAGAAACATAGATCACATAGCTTGGAGGAGATGATGCTTATTTCAAGAGGACCTATAGCTCCAAGATCCAAATTTAGCTAGTCAATAAATAAACAGCATCTTTATGGGGAGACAAACAACATCCAAATCAACAAACCTTGGATAATAAGATGTTCCTGTGTAAACTAGTCCAAACAGCAATGAGGAAAAGATGCAGGAGCTCCAAACAGCACACACTAGTGAGGGAGTATAAAGGTGACGGCCTCCGAGAGAGGTCACAGTCAGGCAGTTCCCTCTCAGGACTCACTAGGAAGCAGAGGCACCTCCGTCATGTCTGGCAGCTGCTGTTCCAGGAAATGCCCCTCCTTGCCAGCCATCACTCTCTGCTCCAGAGAGGTGAGCTGCGTAAGGCCCATCTGCTTGCCCAGTTCCTGTGGGAGCCAGACGTGGCAACTGGTGACTTGTCAAGATGGCTGTGGATCATCTAGCTGTGGCCCCCAGTGCTGTCAGCTCTCCGGTCCTGTGAGTACCTGTGCCCAGCCTGTGTGCTGTGAGGCCACAATCTGTGAGCCTTCCTGCTCTGTGAGTACCTGTGCCCAGCCTGTGTGCTATGAAGCCACGATCTGTGAGCCCTCCTGCTCCGTGAGTACCTGTGCCCAGCCTGTGTGCTGTGAGGCCACGATCTGTGAGCCCTCCTGCTCTGTGAGTACCTGTGCCCAGCCTGTGTGCTGTGAAGCTACTCCTTGTGAACCTTCTTGCTCCATAAGCAGTTGCTGCCAACCTGTGTGCTGTGAGGATACCTCCTGCCAAGCAGTCCTTTGTGTGCCCACTTCCTGCCAGCCAGTCATCTGTGAACCCAGCTGCTGCCAGCCAGTCGTCTGCGAGTCCAGCTGCTGCACTGAGCCTAGTTCCTGCCAACCAGTGGTCTGTGAGCCTGCTTGCTGTCAGCCCATCTGCCCAGTGCCCAGCTGCTATCCATCTGTCTGCTCCACGACCAGTAGCTGCCAGCCCATCTGCTGTGACCCCAGCACTTGTGAACCATCTTGCTCGCAGGCCAGCATCTGTCAGCCAGATACCTGTGTGGCCCTGGTCTGTCAGCCCATTTGCCTCCGCCCTGTCTGCTGTGTTTCAAGCCCTTGTGAGCCATCTTGTGTCTCCAGCACCTGCCAAGAGCCCTCTTGTTGTGTCTCCAGTATCTGCCAACCCATCTGCTCTGAAACCAGCCCCTGCTCACAGAACATCTGTGTGCCTACCCCATGCCAATCTACCTGCCATGTAGTCAAGCGCTGTCGGTCCATCTGCTGTGAGCCTGTTTCCTGCACTTCCACCCCCTGCCAACCTCCTTGCTGCCGCCCTGGGTCTTCTGCCTCTGTCATCTGTCAACCAATTCGTTCTCGGCCCACTTTCTACATACCCAGTTCCTGCAAGAAGCCTCGCAGTACTTCAATTTCCTGCCGTCCACTTTGCCGCTCAATCTACTCTGGTCCTATCGGCTACAGGCAGCCATATGTGACATCTATCCCCTACCGTCCTGCCTGCTACCGTCCTTGTTACTCCATCTTACACCGCCCAGCCTATGTCACTTCTATCTCTTATCGCCCACTCTGCTCCCGCATACCTTGTGCTGAGTCTGACTCCTGCAAACGGGATCGTAATAAGTCCACTTCCAGCCAACCGGATTGTGCTGACTCAACCCCTTGCAAGGAGGATGTCTCAGAGGTGAATCCCTGCCTGCCCACTGCTACCAAACCCACCAGCTCGACCACCTGTGAGGCTGCAGCCAGCCAGCCTTCTGCCAGCAAGCCTGCTGACTCCTGAACTGGCCTGAGCCCACCCATTCCTACAAAGCAAGTCACCAGCTAGAGAGAAAACTTGTTTGCCCTCCCACAGGCTCAGTATGACTTAGCTAGAATCTTTTTCTTTCTCTATCATAACTTACCATCTACTTACATTTCAAGGAACTCGTCAGAAATGTCAGTATCTTAATAGTCCAAATGAAGGCCCCTGGGCACTGAGAAGGGGACATTCTGGCTTCTTATCTTTTACTGTCATCAAGTTGAGTAGAGCTGCTTTGCCACATCATCTCAAATCTCTTTTCTAAAATCTTTTCTGTCCATACGCATGTTCTCCCTCACTTTGTGTGCTCATGTTCCTTGGTGACATCTTAAATGAGAGAAAGATATTTCACTGTCCAATAAAGATGGCTAAGTTGAAGTGACATGCTGTTGTCATTGTCCTCCTGTTTTGACATAATTTCATCAGCTGACTTCCTTTGTCTTTGAGGGCAACTCCATCCATCCATCCATCCAACAGGCTTATATATAATGCTGCCAGGATTATGTTAGGCTCTGCGAATACAAAGACAAAAGTCTCAGTCTTTTAAGCTCCCCATTCTTTGATGGGGAGACTGAGAGGCAAACAAACAATGATGACATTTCACTGTGATAAGTACTGGGGGAGAGATAAAAACACAGCACACTGTGAATTCAGCAGGCATGGGGGTGGGGAGAACCAAGGAAGAGTTACTGGTGAATCTGATGCTTGAGCTGAGTCAGAACAAGTAGGAATTAGTCAGTTGAAAACAGGGAAGGAAGAGCTTTCCAGGGGGAGGAAACCTTAGTATAAATTACTAAGGTTTGTGAGCACACTGCTCATTAGTGAGGCTTGGGCATAGGTATCTGTAGATGGTTGGGTAACCATGAGTTAGATTAGTAGACAGTGACCTGCTCTTGACAGGGGCTACATGCTAGATAGAGATGTGTGGGTTTGGTGTGGGAGTGACTGACATGAATACCACTGGGTTTGGAAACTCCCATTTGTGAATGACTGATTGAAAAGGGATGTAGACAGATTGGAGATAGATAACTGGTTAGGAAGTCAATAGCTTTGGAGTCCACAGTGGGATGAAAACAACAACTGGTGTTCATATTTATAATAAAGAAGGTCCAGGGAAGCTGAGTTTCTTGCGGGAGAGCTACTCTTATGGTCTAACCACCATAAGGAGTCCTTGGGTGGCACAGAGGGTTAAATGATCAAACACTTATTGGAAGTTTGGTGATTCAAACCCACCCAAAGGCACCTTGGAAGACAGGCCTGAAGATGTACCTCTGAAAGGTCACCATCTTAAAAATCTTATTGAGAAGTTCTACTCTGTACATATGGGGTCACCATGAGTCAGAACTGGCTTGACAGCAACTAACAACAACAGTCCCTATAAGTCATACTCTCTGTAAAAATTCCATACATATCCTCTTATAATTTCCTAGGACAGAGTATCTTCAAAGAAGTTATCCCCTAGACTTAATTCACAGAATGGGGAGTTATTCCTTGTCCCCAAGGTGCAGCTTGGGCTATGGCAAGAATAGGTGAGAGTAGACTAGGGCTTCTCAACTTAAGGCTATTGAAATTTTGAGCTGGATAATTCTCTGTTGTGGGAGACTGTCCTGTGCATTTTAAGATGTTAAGCAGCATCTCTGGCCTCTACCAACATGATGCCAGTAGTATCTCCTGAGTTGTGACAACCAGAAATATCTCCAGACACTACTATATCTACCTTGCAGAACAAAACTCACACCTGTTTGAGATCTACTGGGTTAGACAATGGTAGAGAGAAAGCCCAAAATGAAATGTATCCTGAACATTGGTGTCAGGGCATTTGTCTCATAGAGCCATTGAGATTTTCTCTATTTCCTTTTCTAGAATCAAGAAAGGAATAGGCCAGGATTTGAAATCTTTGTGCCAATCAGTTGTTGTTGTTATGTGCCGTTGAGTCAGCCCCAACTCATAGCGACCCCTCCTTGGGTTTCCAAGGTGATATCACTATGGAAGTAGATTGTCCAACCTTCCTTCCAAGGAGTGGCTGGTGGGTTTGAACCATCAGCCTTCTGGTTAGCAGTCAAATGCCTTAGGCACTATGCCACCAGAACCCCCCTATATATAATATATATTATATAATATACATATATATATATATATTCCAAAAATTACACACACAAAAATGTGTGTGTGTATATATATGTATATATGTATGAATGCATATATACATACTTGTTGTTGGTTGTTGTTTATTAGGCGTCATCGAGTTGGTTCCAACTCAAAGAGACCCTACATATAATAGAAAAAACACTACACTGACCTGTGCCATTTTCATAATTGTTGCTATGTCTGATCCCATTGTTGCAGTCACTGTGTCAATCCTTGTTGAGTGCCTTCCCCTTTCCCACTGACTCTCTACTTTACCAAATATGATGTCCTTTTCCAGGGCTTGATCCCTCCTAATAATATGACCAAAGCATGAGGGATGAAGCCTTGCCATTCTTGTGTCTTTTGACGTCCATGGTATATTCAATATTCTACACCAACACCATAATTCAAAGGCATTAATTCTTCTTTGGTCTTCCTCTTCATTTTCCAGCTTTCACATACAAATGAGGTGACTTAAAATACCATGGCTTGGGTCAAGCACACCTTAGTCTTATATATATAGACATTATATATGCACATATATAATGTCTATATAAAACAAGGGAATAATAAAAATTCAGGATAGTCACTGCTAGTAAGTGACATAAACAAATAAAAAAACCCACACACACCACTGCCATTGAGTCTATTCTGACCCATGGCAACCCTACAGGACAGAGTAGAACTGCCCCATAGGTTTTCCAATGCTATAAATCTTTATGGAAGCAGACTGCCTCATCCTTTCTCCCTGGAGTGGTTGGTGGGTTTGAACTGTCAACTTTTTGGTTAGCAGCCAATTGTTTTAATTACTGTGTCACCAACACTAAAATCCATTCTGTCCAAAGTTTGTTTTTTTATGCATCATCACATTTCTTGATATGGTCACAACAGCCCTCACTGATAACTAGATGTCTTTAGTACCTTGAATCACATTAACATGAGTGTTCTCTCTATTGACAGATTTCCTTAAGAAGGAAGGAAACACATTATCACTCATGAATAATGTGCTCCCTTAAACAATCAATTATATGAGACCAAATGGTCAACATTTGCCCAAAAGTAAAGATGAGAAGGCAAGGAGGAGAAGGTGAAAAGAGAAAGTAGAAAGAGAAAAAAACAGAATGGAAATAATGATAATGCTGAGACATTGTGAACATAGTAATCAATATCATGAACAATATGTATAAAAACTGTCAAAGGGAACCCAACTTGCTGTGTAAATTTTCACCTAAAACACAAAAAAATATTAAAAAGAAGAAGAAGAAACGAAACAAGAGCAGGATCACTTAGAGAAAAATGGATGTAAAAATGAATGGTTTAGAAACAATGAAAGTGTCTATAAAGTATTGACACCTTTTCTAGATTGAAGTCAACATGGTTTCTCAAATATATTCAGGTTCCCATTTTGATTGATGTATTTGGTTAACACTACAAGTATTTCCCCTTGAGAGATGGTGGATATTTGGAATAAGACATAGAGCTGAGTCTGTGTAGATGCCAAAATGAACAGAAACAAGATGGAGGGAAAAAGCCGTGATGGAGCTGTGACACAAAAAAACATTTTAAAGACATTGGGAATGGTTTTCCAGGCATTGCGTCAATCAGAAAAGTTTCTCTTCCTTTTAAAATAAAGGTGAGGAAGATGTCAAGAAGAAAGTATTTTGTAGCTGGTGTGAGCTCTGGTGGTGTAGTGCCTAAGGCATTTGTCTGCTAACCAGAAGGTGGGTGGTTCAAACCCACCAACCACTCCTTGGAAGGAAGACTGGGCAATCTACTTCCGTAGAGATACCACCTCTGAAACCCAAAGAGGGGGGTTGCTATGAGTCAGAATCAAATTGA